TATAGGGATTTCTGATTATGGACACTTTGGGTTTGGACAAGGTTTTGGCACTTCTTTAGTCTCAAATATCACTACAGCAGGTGCCACCACTAATGACTCCTGCTAATGTGTACAGGACAGTTCATCTAAATGAACTCATCTGCCTGGGGCTCATGGCTCTGAGGGAGCTCTACACAGTTTTATTTTCCTGTTTTACTCTGAATGGGATTAGTGGCTCTCCAATAGAAGAGTTCTCATCTCTTTCTTCCAATCTCTTCCCATTTCAGCTACCCAGTGCCTTTGTCTCTTGCTTTTGACCTGCCTGCTGGCCCTGGCAGCATCTTTTCCTGATGTTGACATAAGAAACTTGTACCTCCTCAATGGCACAATGGATGACATCATGAATGCTCCCCCAGAGTCCTCCCAGCTGGGTAAGTATGGCCCTGCAACAGGGAGAGGCTAACAAGGTCCTGATCAGTCAGATCCTACACAGCCTGCACCCTCACCAGCCTGCCCTCAGCTCTGTCACACCAAGGAAGGACTAAATACTGACCTGAGAGTGTCTGACTGGAGCAAGAGTAACCTTAGGGTACCCCACTGCTTGCTGGCTGTCTCATCTCCTGCATGGCATGAAGTTCTTCTGTCCAGAAGGGAGAGGACAATAGCCCAAAGCTCAGAGCCCACAGGATCCCACGAGAAAGGACAAATTGGCAGCAAGACTAAGCCCAAGTCTTGTGGGCCACATGCTCTTCCTTGCAGAAGAAGGGTTAAAGATGCTCCCTGTGTGTTTTGAGGACAGGGAGAACAGCTCCCATCTCTGGAAATCATCAGTGGAGAACTGAATTCAAGGGAGATCTCAATACAAAGAGGAAATAAATGAAGTTAATACAAAGAGTTTAAGCAGTGGCACTGGCACAGGGCAATCAACCAGGTGATGGCACAGAGTAACCTACAGGTACCAGGAGCAGTGAGGAGGCCTTGAAGAAATGCTCAGGGGAAAAACAGGAGCTGTGGAATGGCTTTTGTGATTCCAAAAACCTGTGACTGATCCTTCTGTTTTACAGCCATCAGTGGATAGAGAGATGTCCTTGCAAAAGAATTGAACTAACTCATTCTAAACCATCCTCTCTTCCAGCAACATCCTTCAAATTCCCTTTTGAGCAGACACCTCTCCCAACTCCTGGCAGCTGAGCCAGTTTTTCAGTGTCTGCTCTCAAATTTCTTCCCCCACTCTTTAATCCCGCTTCCTCCCAAGTCCCTGACTGCTTCTGCACTCTAACAACCATCTTCCCAGTATTGCCACCACCATTAGGGATTTTCCCCTACACAGTATGCCCAAATACTTTCCACCAAAAAAGCATCAGCCTCACTCTAGCACCATGTAAATTCCTCCAAATTACCAACTTGCTGATATGTGAAATTGGTGAATCCCTCTGGAATTAAGAACAGGTAAACTGGAATATCATCCAGAGAAGGCTTTTGCCTTGCCTACTCCCCACCCTCATCCTGTCTCCTGTGTTAATTTAGGTGATGGTGATGGACACGTCCGACAGGCCAGGGACATCGCCCACCACCCTCCAGTGAGCCATGGTGAGTCTGCATTGCTGGGTTCCACCATCACTGGGCTCACCAAGAGCTCTCAGACAACTCTCCCATGTCCCACACGTGCCCTGGCTCCTGCCAGGAATGTGTTGATTTTCTGATGGGCTGCAGAGGTGCCACAGCTACAGCCTTGGGGACTCTGCTACCAGCTGTGTCCTGGCTCAGTACTTGATGAGGTGCTTTTGCAAGGGGAATTTTCCAGATAAAGGTCCAAACTGGAAAGTGATGCTTCATTACTGGGAGGTGGTGATTAGTCATTTTCCTGTTTTCACTACACAGTGGATGAGAAGACTGGATGTGACAGAATTACTGAACTGGCTGGCTCAACATTAGCCCATAAGGCCAAAGATAGGTCCTGCATGGGTGGGGACAGCTGGTGACAGAGGTGCTGGAAGTGGAGCAAATTCCTTCCCAGCAGTGTGTAGCTACTTTCAGCAGTTTATTGTATGAGGTGCAGACATTTTGGAGCATGGAAATCCATAATCAAATCCAACAAGTCAGGAAGTCTCCAAAGAGCTACTTGGGTAAGGCCAGAGAACAACAACGGCTTTGCCCTGTTGAGATCCCAAGAGCTGATTTAATTGTTAGAGATATAGATGTCATGGTCACCCTCTCTCTGGGGAAAGCACTAAACCTCTGTGCTGTACCAGCAAGTGACTTTGTCCCCCAGATTTGCATTTGTCTGTGGTGATACCTCATCTGCACAACACAGACTCAGCCCAGCCTGGATGGGGATCCTTGGGTGACAATGATCCTGGCTTGGTCTCACCAGACATTTTCACAGTGCGTTCCCAGCAGTTTGAATCCTGTCTCAGGAAGATGTGAAGCTCAACTCTTGTGGCATTCACATACTCTTTGAAAAGAGAGACATAATTCTCTCTCCCAGGATTTTTCCTGGGGAAGGAAGTGAGAAAGCTCAGAGAGAGAAGGGAATTGAAACAATTCTTATCTCTACTTGCTGCTCCTGTTGTTTGGCACATGTGGAATGTGTTATGGAGGTTGCTTACCAAAAGGGATTTGTTAATTGGACTTTGCTGATGGTTGTTTGGACTGATTGACCAATTGGATCAAAGCTGTGTCGTGACTGTCGGAAAGGGTCACAGGTTTTTCTTTAGTATAGTATAGTATAGTGTAGTATATAGTAGTAATATAGCCTAATATAATATAGCTTAATAAAGCAATTGTTCAGCCTTCTGAATCACTGGAGTCAGAGCACGTTACTCCTGTGTCAAAGGCGCCCTGATTCGATAAACTTTGATCATGGCAAGATTTTTATTTACTCCTGTGAGCACATGGCAGAAATAGAGCCTAGGAATGTGTGTGCAAAAGGATTCAGACACTAAAGAAACACCCCACTTTTAGGGGGATTTAATAACCAGCTCTTGTTTCCAGCCTCAGGGTGGCCCAAGGACTGCAGTGAGATCCCCCGTGGTAGCCACAGCGGCGTCTACATCATCCAGCCCAAAGGGCTCCACCACCTCGTGGTGTACTGCGAGATGAACGTGACCCACGGCGGCTGGACCGTCATCCAGAGGAACCAGAGGGACACCCCTGTCACCTGGGCCGAGTCCTGGAGCACCTACAAGTTTGGCTTCGGGAACGTGCGCACCGAGTACTGGCTGGGCACCGAGTACATCCACCAGATTGCCAAGCAGAAGGTCTACCAGGTCAGGTTTGTCATCCAGGACTCGGCAGACAACCTCAGCTTCGCTGACTACAACCTGTTCAGCGTGGAGGACGAGTCCCACGGCTACCGGCTCAGGCTGGGCTCCTACAATGGCACAGCTGGGGATGCCATGACCTCAGACAATCCCAACAACATGCACGACAACATGAAATTCTCCACAAAGGATCAGGATCAGGACACCTACAGTAAGAACTGTGCCTACAGCTATGAGGGCGGGTGGTGGTACTCGTCGTGTTACTCCGTGCGGCTGAATTACAAGGGGGGCCTGACATGGGGCAACCTGTGCAAGGGGAACTGCAAATCCTCTCTTATCCTCATTAAACCAGCTTCATATTGTTAGTGCTTCTTCCTCCTCCTGTCCACAGTGGACACTCTGCAAAGGCTCTGCACAGCCAAAGAGTGTGAGCCTCCCTGGAGCAGAGAGAGGAGCACAAGGGTAGCAGGGCTTTAATGAAATGCCACTTTACACTCCCCCTCTCCAATTGCAGACTCCCCTCTGCTCAGCTCCGTTCCCCTGTGCTTGCCAATGATTCCTTCTTATTATGTTCATAATCAAGAATTTAAAAAACACTGATGAAATTTGTGGATTCCACATGAACCTTCCCTGCAGGAGGAAAACACGCAGCCCTGCAGTTACATCAGTTTCCTTGCTGTCTCCAGAACTCACAGGAAGCAATGCCCCAAATTTCCATATACTCTGAGCCTCTCTGCAGTGTTTGATAAGGCATCCAATAAACATGCTTGCTTGAGCTCATTCTTCAGTAATGACATTTGTTCTGTACCTTTGATCTTCTCCCCTGGGACCTGAGAAATCCCATGTCAGGAGCCAGGACTGGAGTCTTGAGGCTTACCATAGAATCACAGCCTGGTTTGGGTTAGAAGGGACCTTAAAAGCCATCTCATTCCAAACCCCCTGCCATGGGTAGGGACACCTTCCACTACTCAGCCTGGACAGAGAAAGCCTTTAATATTTCTCATGGATGTAAGAAAATTAAACCCAGTTACACTGTGACAAAGGCCCTGTGATCTGCACAGCATAGGGAGGGGATCCACAGGGCAGCTCCAGGATGGATTTGTGTTGGCTGGAAGAGCAGCTCTCCTGTGCCAGGGTCAGAAGCTGGTAGAGCAAGGAAACATGGCTGTTAGAGGGGTCCCAGAATTTTTTCTTCCAGGTTTCTGAATCCCTGCAAACATTTAGTGACCCTGTGGCAGCAGTTCCTGATCCCAGTGGGGCAGCCTTCCTCAGGGGACAAAGGGGTCACACAGGGATGCTGTGCCCCAGGGACAGCCCCAGTGACAGAGTGCCCTAGGGACAGGGTGTCCTGGTGACAGGGTGCCCCAGGGACAGGGTGTCTGAGTGACAGGGTATTCCAGGGTGCCCTAGGGACAGGGTGCCCCAGGGATACTGTGCCCCAGTGACAGGGTACCCCAGTGACAGGGTGTCCCAGGGACAGTGTGTCCAGTGACAAGGGTATTCCTGGTGACAGGGCTCCCCAGGGAGAGGGTGTCCCACAGCTCCCACCTCTCCTGTGCCAGTGGGTGACAGGGCACCAGGCTGTCCCAGGGCAGTGCAGGGCAGTGAGGAGTGAAACCGCGGTGGCGGCAGGAGGGACTCGGTGTGCGGGACACCCCTGGAGGGCTGAGGGCTGTACAGCGGGGAGCAGGGTGTGCACAGAGTGGGGTACAGGGTGCCCACAGCGGGTACAGGGTGGTCACAGCGGGTGCAGGATCCATGCAGGGGGAGCAGGGTGCGCACAGCCGGGAGCAGGGCGCTCACGGGGGGTTCGGGGTGCGCGCAGCAGGTGCAGGGTGCGTGGAGCAAGAGCAGCGCCCGTGTCTCCGGCCGGGGCCGGCGCGGTGCGGTGGGGGAGCGGTGCGGTACGGTACGGGAGCGGTGCGGTGCGGGAGCGGTGCGCTGCGGTGCAGAACGGGAGCGGTGCGGTAAGGGAGCGGTGCGGGAGCGGTGCAGAACGGGAGCGGTGTGCGTGGAGCAAGAGCAGCGCCCGTGTCTCCGGCCGGGGCCGGCGCGGTGCGGTGCGGGAGCGGTACGGGAGCGGTGCAGGAGCGGTGTGGGGCGGGAGCAGTGCGGTGCGGTGCAGAACGGGAGCGGTGCGGTACGGAACGGGAGCGGTGCGGTGGGGGAGCGGTGCGGGAGCGGTGCGGTGCGGTACGGGAGCGGTGCGGGAGCGGCGCGCTGCGGTGCGGAACGGGAGCGCCTCAGCAGGAAGGTACGGCGGGGCCGGGGGGCCGGGGGCCGCTGTCCCGCCGCCCTGGGGTCGAGCCGGGCGCCGCTCGCTCCTCGCGGCTGTCCCGGTGCGCAGGGCGGAGCGGCACTGCGGGGCCGGTGCTCCCGCCGGCCCCGGCTCCCGCTGCCCGCATCTTGACGCCCGTAATCCCGGGGGCTCCGCAGAGCCCACCGGCGGGGCGGGGAACCTCCGCCCGGGCATCCCGACCGCGGCTGCGCGGGGCTCCCGGTGCCGAACCCATGGCCACCAAGCCCACGGCCACCGAACCCCGTCCGCTGTCCCCGCATCCCCGTATCTGCAGAGGCCCCGGCCCCTCGCCCGCCCTCCAGCCCGGTCTCGTTTTCCGCAGCCGGGATGAGCCCGCGCTCTCCCGGCTCCCTGCGGAACGGGCGCAGGTTGCTGTGGAATCGCTCTCGGCCCGATTCCAGCCTCTTCCCTGGGTGGCCCCGGGTGCAGGCGGGGTGTGCGCAGCGAGGGGAGGGTCGTGTCCCTTCCGTGACACCCGTGTCCTCTGCCGAGCGCTGTCCCTGCAGAGGGGCCGGGCAGCCGGCTGGGATTGCCGCGGTCGGGTTGAGCAGCCTGCGCAGCCCGGCTCCAGCCGCTGCATTCCGCCGGGATGCACCGCCTTCCCAGGCAGAGCAGAGGGATGGAGACAGTGCGGAGAAAGAGGGTTCACCCCCGGATGGACAGTGTCCCCCGCCCAGCAAGGTGCTGGATCTGACTGGTTCTGCCCATTTCCCTCGTTGCTGACACACACGGCCCCGATCCCATTCCCACAGTTCCAGAGTCTACAGCTGGAGCGGGAAACGTGTTTGGCTTCAAACTGCACCCAGGCCAAGGTGAATCTGTCCCTGCGCCCGCGGCTGGAGGATGGGAAGGCTTCCCTGGCCATCAAGTACCAGGAGCTGCAGGAGATCCGAGAGGCTTGCTGGGACAAGCAGCAGCGCCTGGGTGAGTGAGGTGCAGCCTCTGGGCCGAGCCACATCCAGAGCAACCCCTGTTGATATGAGGGTCCAGGTGGGCTCAGCATGCTTGATCCTACCCCAGGAGATGGTTCAGCCATGATCAGGAGTGGTGGGGGATGATGTGACACAGCAAAACCTTAGCTGGGACCAGCCATGGAGTCACAGAATCAGTTGGGTTGGAAGGCACCTTAAAGATCATCTCATTCCATCCTCTGCTGTGGGCAGGGACACCTTCCCTAGACCAGGATGCTCCAAGCCCAGTCCAACCTGGCCCTGAACAATTACAAGGATGAGGCATCCACAGCTTCTCTGGGCAGCCAGGGTGGGATGGAAGCTGTGGTGTGCAGGTGGCTCCAGGGATGTGTTTGGGGGGGGTTCAGTGCGAGGAGCGGGGAGCTGATGCTTGAGGATGGGAAGTTCAGCAACCCCAGCAGCAGGGATGTCCAGGGGAAGGTTGGCAGCCCCATCCCCTTCTGACACACAGAGGTTTACCTGGAGAAGTGGAGCCCACAGAGTGCCCTGGGCCAGCTCCAAGCCAAGCTTGATGCCTCCGAAGCAGAGTCAGAGGTGAGTTAGCTGAGACCCCTGTGCTCTTGTCCCTTCCTCACCAGAGCCTCAGGGTGCTCTCCATGCCCTCCCATGTGCCAGGGCCTGCAGAAGAGCCCAGGGTCCAAGGGGTACTCCTTCTATTCACGCTGCCCATCCCACAGGCACAGATAAAGCAGTTCCTGGCCCAGGACCTGCCCCTCGAGTCCTTTCTGGAGTCCTTCTGCCAGAGCCGCACACGCTCCCACGTCTGCCGGACACAGCTGGAGAAACTGCAGGAGCTGCTGCAGAAGGACCAGCTGCAGAAGGACCAGGTGGGCAGGGACCCCATGGGCCCTGCGGGGTCCCCAGGTGCCCCAGCTAGCATGGCACCAGCCCGCCTTGCCCCCTTGCAGAGTGGAGTGGCCCCCAAAGCCTTTGAGCTGTCCTACGGCTTTGTGCCTGCCTTCCTCGTCCCCTCGGAGGCTGCTGTGCCCTTTCCCGTGCCGGCTGCACCTCCCAAGCACCATCTGCCAGCCCTGGCACAGCAGCCGGCATCTCCCGGCTCCGAGGTGCCCAGCCCGGGCTCTCCCCTGCGCCTCGTTGGACACATCCCGGTGCTCAGCCCCCAGCCCGGCCGCGGGCAGCAGCAGCACCGGGAGCAGGAGCCTCCGCACCGGTAGCGCGGCAGGGCGGGCACGGCCCTGCTCCTGCATCCCCCGGGGCTGGGCAGCAGCACCGAGGGGCGGGGGTGCTGTAGGCACGGCTCCGAAGGGTCTGGGGGTGCTCTCAGAGGGATGGAGGTGGGGCCGGTGCCATGGCTGGGTAGGGGTCCTGCATTTGGGGAGGTCTCTGCATCCACAGCAGGAGGAACGGGATGGAAGTGGGAGTGGGTGGCTCATAGGGATGTCAGTGGGCTTAGCTGGGAGGGAGAGCAGGGAAAAGGCACAGGAGCACTGGGTGTGCCACATGCTTCCTAAATAAAGCCTCTTTCCATGCTGTGTGTGCTCCTTCTGTGCCCTGCCCTTTGGTTCTGGCTATGGACAGCAGGATGAGACAGGCAGGGAGGAAAGGGTTACCAGGGAGCAGTTGCCAGGCTTGGAGGTGCCTGGCAGCCAAGGAGAGCCTGCCAGGCTGAGGAGCCCCCAGACCTTTCCTTTGCACTTGGCTCAGGACATCGCTGGGGAAGTTGAGAGCTCCTGCAAGGGGTGCAGAGCCTGCCATGAGTTGTGTTTCCCTCAAGAGAGGTGCCAAGGACCAGTCTGTCCCTGCACATGGGGAAGGCTTTTGGTGCCCAGCATGCCTCATGCCAGCAGCAAAGCCCTCACCCCATGGAAGGTTATACTCCGTGGCCAGCTGGGCTTGCTCACAGCTTGGCAGCCACTGGTCACATCAGCCTGTACTTGTGTCCACCTTTCTCATCCCCTCAGGGGCCATTGTGCCCTTTGTCATTCCTTACCCACCTCCCCCATTCCACCAGCCCTCACTGGAAAAAGTGGCAGGAGGCCTGAGCTCTCAGCCTGTTCCGTCCCAGGCTCTTCTGTTCCTTTCCTTAGTGTCACAGGATGGATGGTGAGTCCAAGGGGTGGTGTTCCCCATCCCCAGGGGACAGCCTGGTTCCTCCAGCTGCAGCCTCCTGGGCTGCTTGTTTCCTGCTGTGGCATGTCCACTGTGCTGGTTTTAGCTTTTGGGTTGGTTTCAGACTCTTCTGGTGCTCTCAGAGCCTGTCTGGCTCTGTCATTCTTTTCCTCTTTCCCAGCTGCCTGTCCCACCTGCATCTTGCCACTGCTATGTACACTGCTTGGAAATCATCCCAAGCAGCAGAAGGCCCTGGCTCAGGCTACAAACCACCCCAAAATACAGGTCATTAGCTTGCAGGGTCTGATCACCCTCCCCCACTGAGGCTACCTGGCCTTATGCCAAACTTCAGCCCTCATTTATGGCTAATATTCCAGTATTACCAGTTAAAGCAGGTTTAAAGCTAGGATCAGTAGGGGGCCAGCCACTGTGCCTTTACTGGCATGTGAGGAGGTGGTAGTCACTGGAATATCTGGAGTTTCACAAAGCACCTGCTGCTTTCCTGAATCCTGCTTTGGGCTCAGGCTGGCAGTGAAAGGCCTGTTTGCCAGCCAGGCTCTGTGCTCACCTGCCTGGGCTGAGCCCCAGCCACAGGCCGTGCTGGTGGGCTGTCACTGCCCTGCCACAGGGGACCAGGCACAGCACTGAGGCATGAGATGGTGCACGAGCACCAAAGGCACCCAAAAACTAGCCAGACCCCCCCAGTGCCTGCCCTGCACGGCTCCCCAGGCTGGGCAGCCCCAGGCTGGGTGGGTGTGCACAGGACAAACTCCCCTGGCCCTGTGCAGCTCCTGAGTCACCCCAGTGGCCCAAAGGATGGGGACTCGGGGTGAGCAGCTGTCCCTGCAGCCTGGGCAAGGTGAGTGTGTCCTGTGAGAGCTGCAGCACTAGCAGTGACAGTGTGAGCCCAAGGTAAGCTGTGCTCCCATGGTCTGGCTGGCTGTCAGCCCACACGAGCCCTGCAGCACCCCAGGAAGTTCAGGAAGCACTGGGCAGGATCTGGCAACCCCATGGCCCTGCTGGGCTGGCCACCACCCTACATCAGGGGGGAGAACCTTGGGTTCTCCTTTGGGAAGCTGCCAAGCCAGGTGAGCCCCTGCCCTTTGAGGTTCCTGCCACCCTGCAGCTGGTCCTGTCCAGCTTGTGGCACATGGGTGGCTGGATACCCCAGCTGTGGTGATCCTGGCACCTCTATCCCTGGGGATTGAGGGGTGCCTGCCTGCCCACTGGCACCAACAGCTCCAGGCCCTGCACAGGCCAGCTGGGACTGGGGACACGGGGCAGGCAGGGACATTGGCTCACAGGCTGACAGCAGACAGGGTGACCCCTCTGCCCCTCCTGCCTGCGCTGTGGCTCTCCCTGCCTGTCCCTGCCCTGCAGGATGGAGCTAAGGAGGGTAAAAGTGCTGCTGCTCACCCAGGGGAGGAGAAGGAGGAGAGGTTGCCACTGGGTGTGCACCTGCATTCATTTCTGCCAGCTGGTGTGCAGCCAGAGCTGGGCAGGGAGCTGGGGTGCCCCCCATGCCTGGCTCCAGGCTGGAAAAGGAGCTGCCCCAGCCCAGGAGTGAGAACAGCCAGGAGAAGAGGGTGCCCCCCTCCCCCGGGGAATGCCCTGAGCCACAGCCCCAGGCAATGGGGTGCCAAAGGGGTACAAACCTGGACTGGGACCAGCCAGGAAAGGGGTGCCAGTGTGCCCCAGCTGGGGCCCCTGGAGCAGGCACGGGGCTGCTGAGGGAGGAGTGTTAACAATTAACTCTATTAACCAAGGAGTGGCCTCAGGGGATGCTGCAGAAGGGAGGGGGAGCTGCCAACCGTAGCAGCCCTTCCCGGGAGGGCAGAGCTGTGCCCACACGGGTGAGGGCTGGGGCTGTTCCAGGGGCTGTCCCCTCAGCCCATCCCTGCCAGCCCAGCCCTTTTTAGGGGGTGGAGGCTCACCCCTCACTGCTGCTCAGGACTGCCCAGCCTGCAGCTCCCCGTTCCTGCCCCTCATGTCCCCAGCTGGCACAGAGATCTGCCAGCAGCCAGGTTTGACCCTTCCTTTCCAAAGAGCAGGCCAGCTCCAGGAGGAGGCCCTGATGAGGCAGAGACCCCGCACTCCCAGGCTGCAGCACCCAGCAGCTGAGGGGGGCAGCTCAGCACCCCAAACCTACAGTTATGGGGAGGTCAGCCCATGAAAAGGGGCTGGGGTGGGGATGGGGTCTGCACTGAGCTTGGAGGGCCTCAGCACTGGGGCCATCAGGCTCCATCCAGCTTGTTTAAGTTTCCCTGTGGAGCCTTAGAATTCCTTAGCTTGCCGCAGCATCCACTTCCCAAGTGGCTGTTAACCACTCAGATTTGGGTGCTTCCCTTGATGCCTGCTGTCAGTGATTTAAGGGTGGGAACGAGCAACACCCAAACAACCCCTGGGGTGAAGGTGCAGGGCAGAGCAGCCCAGGCCTGGGAGGGTGAGCATGGGATGATGGCTGAGGCCCCACCAGCAACTCACCCTCGGACAACTGTCACCCTTCTGGTGACACACAGCTGGCAAAACCTGGTGCAAAGGACAAGAGAGCAAAGAGCATCCAACACGGACACACACATCCCGTGCAGGCAAGTGAAATGGGGAGCCAGGGTGTGAGGGATAGGATGTGCTACAGTATCTGTAAAAGTGGCCCCAGGGGGCTGGAGGCTGAGGAGGAAGAAATCCCTGCTGTGAACACCATGAGGTCTTTGCTGGGAGGAGTGTGGTGAAGCCCCCAGCACGGGGGGCTGTGCACAGCTCAGCTGCTGCTGCAGTCTGCTGCTGGGCTGGGCTGCAGGGACTGGACACAGGGATACATCCCCAAAGCAGGAAAAGGAGCTGGGAGCAGAAGCTGCTCCCTGCTGTGACCCTGCTGATGGCTGCCTTGCCCCAGCTGCAGGGGGGCTCCTGTTCTCAGGAACAATCCTCTGTGTGTCAGTGTCCCCAGGGATGCATCCTGGGGGATGTAAAGGCCACAGGGAATTGCTGAGCCTGATCCTCTGCTGATCTTTCAACCCTGTACAGCTCACAGTCACACTCCTGGCACGCCAGGGATGCATCCTGGGGGATGTAAAGGCCACAGGGAATTGCTGAGCTTTATCCTCTGCTGATCTTTCAACCCTCACAGTCACATTCCTGGCACCCCCACAGGCTGTGCTCCCTTGGCTAAAGGAAACCCAGCTCTCCTGGCATCTCTCCATCAAGGAAACAACTGGGCAACAGCAAGAATACCATGGCACTGTTGACACAAGCAGAAAAAGGGGCAGAGCAGTGCTGTGCTGGGAGGCACTCTGTGCATTTGGACCAGCTCCAGCCACTTGCTGCCCAAGCTCCTGAAATCCTCCCCAGAGCAGAGGAGCAGTCAGGCCTGACGAGGGCAAAGGTGACACTGGGGAGCTCAGGGCACCCTCCCCTGCCCAGGCAGCAGCTCAGGGGATGTCAGCAGGGCACAGCCACCCCTGGGTGACAGGCAGCACAGAGCAGGACCTCCAGAGAGGCCACCCTGCCCTGCTGACTGCAGGCTGCCTGCCCACCCTTCCCAGCAGGGGAGACAGAGCTGCCCGCCCTCCCTCCCTCCCTCCCTCTTCTTCACTGGCTGAAGTCAGGATGTGAAACCCCTGCCTGCCCCTCACCCCTGCTTTCCAGCAAGTGCAAGGAGCATTTACCACCCAGGGCCACCAAAAAGAAAGATGTGTCACTTTGTCACCAATTTATGGCTGGATGTCTTTAATCTTCAAGGTACGTCATGGAGATCTGAGGAGGAAGAGCCAGCAGCAGAACTGCCAAACCCTGTTTGTGTGGGAGCCAGAGAAGAGCTCCCTAGGGCCATGGGCACTGCTGGCTTTTCCAGCCTGGAAAGTAATGCCTCCTGCCAAATTCTGCCCAAAAACTACCTCTGATCTTGTGATTTGCTTTACAGAATGAAGATGAGCATGACAGTGCATCAGCAGGAGCCAGAGCCACAGCTCCAGCCCCCCTCTGCAGCAGGGCACACCAGGCTCCTGTGTGTGTGACATCCCAGAGCTGTGACCCCAGTGAAGGGACACAGTGAGGATCCTGGAGAGCTCCCTGCCCTGGGCTGAGCTCAGTCCAAGCATGCAGCAGCCCCAGTGAGCAGCTGGGGGTGGCACAAGCCTGTGGGAGCAGGCAGGAGCAATCCTGCCCAGGCAGCAGGCAGTGTCCCTGCTGTGCCACTGCCCAGCTCCCAGCAGGACCACAGAAACCCACAGTGCAAACACAGGGCAGTCACTGTCACATTCTGGTGCTGGCACAGAACACAGCCCAGGGTCTGGGGGGTGAGGGAACAAGGCTGGGCTGCTGCTCACCCCACTGACAGCAAACCCAGTGTCCCACACAGTCCTTGGCACACTCAGGCCACGGCCAGGAAGCTTCTCTGCCTCCAGGCAGCAGCAGCACAGCACAGGTGAACCTCCAGCCAAGGAGAGAAAAGGCTCTGAGAAACACAATCTTTAGTTCTTAAAACACTTCAGCATTTAAATAGGCAAATCTCTTGTGCAAATGATGCTCAGACACGTGTAAGACACAGAGAACAGCACGGGGTGCTCCCAGGTGCAGCACAGCCAAACCTCAGAGGTGTAAAGCTCCTGGCAGGACAGAGGGCTGCAGACACCAAAGTGCTGCCACAGCTCCAGGCAGTGCCACACGCTGGGCAGGCCATGGGCTCAGCTGTCAGGTGTGACCTGAGACTCCTGTACCTGCCATGCTGAGCAGGGTGCTGCAGCTGGGGCACCAGGAGCTCCCCAGAGGTGGTACCAGCAGCGTGACAGCAGCAGCCACCAGAGGCACAGCTGAGCACACACAGCACCTCGGCAGGCAGCAGGGCACAGCACGGTCACTCAGCTGTGCCAAGGAGGAGACATGTCCCAGTCCAGAGTCCAGAGCTGTGCTCACCTGCGAGGCCTGGGCAGGTGCTGTTGGCCGAGGGGCACCGCGAGAGCCTGCAGAGCTCCTGCACCGCCCCTGCAAGGGCACCCTGGCCCAGGCTGTGCCTGAAGGTCACGCTGGCAGGGTGCAATGTCACAGCCCCAAGAGCAGATCTGGTGCCCAGCCCGCTGCCAGGCCCTGGTGGCACCGCGCAGCTGGGGGCACACCCCGGGCGCTGCCCCGCCGTCACTTGAGGCCGTAGATGAGTGCAACCCCCAGGAAGAAGAGCAGCCCGATGGAGAGGTCGGAGAGGACGCGCAGCCGTCCCTGCGCCGCGAACTCCTCCCGCCGGAGGCGCAGCTGCTCCCGCCGCGCCCGCAGCAGCTGCTCCCGCTGCAGCTGCTCGCCGTAGTGCGCGCGGTAGAAGGCGTCGAAGTCGAAGGGCGTGGGGCCGGGCCCCGGGCGGGCTGGGGCGGCGCGGGGCGGCGCCGGGGCGGCG